AAAATGACCCTGGTCTATGAGATGAGTTATCTGTGGAGGATAAAGGCTTCTGGGTTGCTGTTGAACCAAACAATTGCCAGCATTAGAAATGTCTTTTTGATAAATGATGTCGTATTTTTAAGGATCAAAAACAGAAAAGATTTTGCTCACCAAAAGTTTGTGTTGAAAGAAAAACTAATTGCGAGGAATATCGATGAGAATGAATTTTTTATTCTAGTTGTAAATTATTTTGCTTGTAAACTTTTTGTTCCTCAAAATAACTTTCTCTCAGTTTGTTGTGGGTGGATTCAGTGACTGGCAAAACATTGTCAGCATTGACAATCACAGAAAAAGTCAACTTCACCGAGACTGCTTACTAACATACCTCACCACTAGACAATGTCAAGGAATTCAGTACACTTTTGATAGACAGATAAAAGAGGAGTGTGAGTATTGGGAAGATTTACTGCAGCAAGTCATTGCCGTCATCCGTACACTGGCTGAGTGTGAACTTGCATTTTTTTGTTGTTGTTGTTGGTAATGGTTATAAAGGTGTTCCCTAAATTCCTTACGGTTTTATCGCAAAGTTCTGCTGAAAAGCATTTAACTAGAAATTTCATTCTCATTCTCTACTAATGTTCCTTATTGGGCTGGATCTGACGTCAAACCTTGGACCTCTTGCCCAGAACTCTAACCAAAAATGGAAATTACTTGGGTCTTCGAAAATTATAAGTCAGTTTGATTCATTTTTAGCAGGTCATATTTCTAAGTAAGGGTTATGTTGACAAAGGAAACCCTTCTTATCTTTTAAATACAATTTGTAAAGAATTTACCAAGCTAACTGCTGAAAAAATTATTTATTCGTCAACAAAGTCAATTCTTTTCGCTCCTTCAGTTTTTCTGTAGGTTTAATAACAGATCTGTCATATGGAATCAGGCGGAAGCATTTAAAATGTCCCAATCGAGCTTCAGGGATCAAGTTGATACATTTGAAAAGTCCGAGCCAATCTTTAATGGAGCAAAAGAACCTTGATTCTCTAGTTCTTTTAAGCATAGAACCAGATATCATGAGAGATATTCAGTTTAAAGATTTATTTAAGGACTTTGCATTGAAAAAGGCCAGAAGAAAGCTATAGTTAATTAATAATTTCAAGTTTATGTAATAACTTCTGTCAGAGTAATACTGTCAATTTATAACAATGGTTTAGGACGCCAGTACTGACAAATGCAGCTTTAAAACTCATTTTGTCTTTTTTTATCAGAGTCCATCAGAGGTTTTTATATTTAAAGAAAATTGATGTAGTAAATTTAAAAAATTGTAATTGTGTTTGATTTTTTTAATATAATTTCAAAAGTTTTACACCTTAATAATACCACAAAGTATAAGATAAACACCTAAAATCATACTTAAGTATGATTTTAAGCTTCCTAGACCTCTAGATCCTGTTGGATAAGCTTAAAACGCTCCCCAGGCCTCTAAGCTGGGATGGAGAGAGGCTCATAAGCTGCCCCCTGCTTTTTAAATCCCCTAACATGCATAAACACCTCAAGGTGTTATGCTTGCTTGAAAACCCTCTCCCCCCATCCTCAATAATATTCCATTAACCTATATGCTTAGGGCAGTACAATTGTGCCTTGGCAAAGGAGGCGAAGATATGGGGCTAAGATAATATAAAGATAGTGCGTTAAGAAACAAAATTGTCGGACTAAATAAATATATATATATATATATATATATATATATATATATATATATATATATATATATATATATATATATATATAAAGATAGCTTTAGAAAAAAACTTCTACCCTAAAATTTAAGGCTTTTATAAACTGTTTTAACATTTCTAATTTGATACAAAGTGTAAGTAATAAAACTTTGGTGATTAAAAATTTGTAATCATTGAGTTTTTAAAGTTTATTGAAATGTGTCTTGGCAACTGGTGTATATAATGCACTAATTTTATGTGGCTTCATTGGTAATCTGGAAGCTGCGAGAATTAATTGATCTTACCCGATAAGAAAGTTTGATGCAAGCCACATGTGTTATTAAATGATAGCCAAACTCAATTTATGGGGTGGTGTAAATGTGGGCCATATATGACTTTAGTGTTTATACACTTTAGGTGGTAGCCACATATAGCCCACATGTGGCTATAATACTTATGGCAATTATGTGGTATAAATGCTTTATGGCGCACACTCTATATAACGTATTTCTAGTCACATCTTTACTGTCTGCTTCCCATATAATGATACTGACATTAAGTTAATCGAAGTTTTTCAAGATCGCGTTGCCGAAATTCAATCATCTATTAACCATACGGACAAAAATAAACATCTTCAAACACTTGTACTTTCCTACTTAAAAGAACATTTACAAAAAGATGTAATCTGGAAATTCAAGATACTCAACAAAATCAACAACGTAAGTATTTTATTCCCACAACATAAATTGATTGGGTGCAACGTATACAGTTTGCGCGGTTACGACAAGCAGCTCGAACGTCAGAGGCTTATGTTGAGTCAAGATCTTATACAAGCAGAGTTGCAGTGCTGTGAATGTCCCAAGACAGAATGTATTTAAAGATTGGATTTTGAGGTAAAATTTCTTAAATCAGCGTAGAGACTCCTGGAAAAGTCTCTTCATCAAATTAATAAATCATTATGAGTATATTAAACTCAAATCAAGTTCAAAAAAATTTTTAATGAATCTAAAATTATTTTTGAAATCTGACCCCACTAATAAGTGACCGGGGCCCCGGCCCCGGCTAAAAATGAGACTTTTTGCAAACCCGGCCCCGGCCCTGGCAAAATTAGCAGGGGTTATTAGTCGGGCCTAAAAAAAAATTTATAATACTTTTTGTATTATAATTTTATATTTACATTTACTATTTATTACATACTGGCATATATTTATATATTTTTAGGCTCTAATATACTTTCAACAAGATTGCAAGCAACCATTATTAAGTTATAAATTACTTTCAAATAGAGGACAGGTTAAAACCCTAGAAAATGGTTAACTGAAGACTTTAAATGTTGCAGAATGTATTAAAAATGAAAACACAAAGAACGGGAAGAGTTAAAAGGCTTTTTTGATGTGCAAAAAATTGAATTAATAAAAGTTTTGAAATTGAAATAAAAAAATTGAATTAACAAAAAATTGAATTAATAAAAGTTTTTATAAAGGGACAGATACAGTAAAAGGATGCAAGTTGTTGAATATAGACTATTCGTAGGATAGTTCGAGAGATCAAAGTGTTTTCTAGAGTTTTGAAAAGTTGGATTCACTTATATAGCACTTTATAAAAGTTAAGCAAAATTTGAAGAAACTTCTAGAGCACACTTTTTAAGATGATGGAAATCTTGTCTGGAGCACAAACTGTAGAAGTGTTCAATTGAGAATTAACTTTAGCATTAGAAAGCATAGTGATTTTAATGTTTAACAATATTTAATAATGTTTAACAATGTTTAATAATGTTTGTCTGGTAGGAAGTGTGGCCTTTAGATTCAAGAGTTGAAATAGAGTAAGATTTTTTTGCAAAAAAAACTCTGCCTTATTCTGGGGAGAAGTAAAAAGATCAGACCCATGAATAAGAGATTAAATGTTAGACTTATTTTAGTTAATGACACTGTTAAAGACTTGCCAAAAGTCTTTAAATCCTTACATCTGAGATAAGAAACAAGATTTTGTAAACTTAGAACAATAGAGCTTAACATCAGGCAGGACCTTTTTACATAGGCTTCTTGGAATAATAAAGGGACATTTGTTTATAAGAGAGATGTTCTTGTAAAGAAGATGAAAAAAATAATTACTGTTTAATAAAGCAACGGCTCAAAAGGGTCAAAAATGCGGAGTAGAATGAGGCTTGACCTTTATTCCAGATGGAATAAAAGCTTCCAAGTTGCGTTTTATGCATACATATTATGAGTATAAACATATATTTTTGCAATTTATTTAGATGCTGGTAAACAATATCCTTTCATATTTATATAAACTTTAGTATTTATATGTTGTAGTCTTTGCCAAAATACATGATCAGATAAATTTGTGGTCTGACACACATTTATCACACATTTATCTGATATAGGCATTTTAAGAAAAAGAGGCATAGTCTTAGCCAGATTAGAAAAAAGCGTCTTATCGGACAACGTTTGTTCGAGAAGATTAAAGTGATTAAAGTATCAACATGCAGAGAGGTAGAAGCTTTAGAAGAAAATAGTAGTGGTAGAAGTAAAACTTGAAAAGTGCCTTATATATTGTATGAGTGAGGTTTAGTTAAAGAAAGAAAATGCTCTAGATTGTTTATATTAGAGAAACAACATAAAAAAGGAAAGCTAAAGCCTAATGATGTTGACGATGATGACAATCATAATGATGATGATTATGATGATGATAATCATGACAATAATGATGATCATGATGGTAATGATGATTATGATGATCATGTTGATCATAATGATGTTTATATATGTATATATATACAAAATATAATATGAATTTTGAATTAAAAAAATATACTTTAGAATGTATAATTGTTTATGCAGCCCCAGTCATAAACCCAGCCCCGCCTATATTTTATCCCGGCCCCGGTCGTTTACTAGACTCCACCCTATACTTAGGGCTGTAAATCCTGGCTCGTGTTCGTGAACGGCTCGGTGATCGGCTCGACAAGAGCTCGTTCATGTTCGGCTCGAATGGTAAACGAGGTGGGCTTAAACAAAAAATTAGGCTCATTTATTAAACGAGCCGAGCTTGAACATCATAGGCTCGTTCATATAGGCTCGATTAAAGCTCGAATATATATATAAATATATATATATATATATATATATATATATATATATATATATATACATATGTATATATATATATATATATATATATATATATATATATATATATATATATATATATATATATATATATATATACATATATACATATATATATTTATTTATATTATAATAATATATATGTAATAAATAAAATTGTGATATTATATATATTAGTATATAACAAAAATATAGTGTTAGTGTAACCATATGAGATATGACATCAGTTGCTTCAAAATCTGCATTTAGCGCAGGAGGTCGAGTGCTTGATTCATTTAGAAGTTCATTATCACCTAAAACAGTGAAAGCTTTGGTTTGTTGTGCAAGTTGGTTGAAAGATGATAGTCAAGAGAAAAAGGTAGTGTTATTCTCTTAGTCATTTTTATGATATCTTTTTTAATTCAAGTTTTAATATCAACTAATTTTGTAGGTTGATCTTGAAGAAGAAAATTTGAATGTTGTTATTCTGACGGTTCTTAATTCTACTATATGAAAAGGTAAACAATTAAGGTTCTAATTATGTTTTTATGTAGCATGATATCTCTTTTCAAATTCCAATTATTTTTTATATTCAATTATCTAGATTCATTCTCATGCAAGTTTGTTGTAAAGTTTCAGATTTTCAGCTTACTTTTGAGATTTAACTTCAAGAGAATTAGAGGAGGACTTTTTATTTTGTTTCATCCAATGCAATTTTAAACTAACAGGTTACAATAACTATTTCGAATTTTAAACCAGTCGAGCTCGAGCAACATGTAAAACGAGCCGATCCCAAACAATACTAATCCTTAACGAGCCGAGCTCAAACAAAAAATCTCATGTTCGAAACAAGCTCGAGCCGAGCCTGAACACTCTTAATATGTAAACAAGCCGAGCCGAGCCCTGGCAAGCTTGGCTCGTTCGGCTTGATTTACAGGCCTACCCCATACTCAGTAATGTCATAAATAAAATAATTTCTTATTAAGAATTAATTAAACATAGTATGTTTTTTGCGAGTTAAGTTTTAATTTAAAATTATACAATATTAATCTTTTATAAACCTGTAATTCCTATCTCATTCAAAACAATAAACTTACCTGCAACAAAGTTGTCAGGTCTGTATAATCCTTTAGAAATTCCACTTTTAACCGCGTCAATAACTCCTGGTTCTAAATCTACTAGAACTGTTCTTGGAACATACTTTTTATTAATCCCGTTGTTATTTTCATGAAAACATACTCCAATTTTTCCGTTATCTCCATTATTTAAATCATCAAGCAAACCATCTTTATTTATATTGTGTTCTTCGCATATTGTTTCCCAAAACTATTAGAGATTTTGATATTTAATTTTCAAAAGAAAAAAAATATATAGTTAAATAATAATCTTAAGCATAAGTCTGTGATGTGAGTTTTATGTGGTTCCGTGTGGTATGTGAGTTTTATGTGGTTCCGTGTGGTATGCATGGATTATTAAAATGTTTTCAAATAATTGAAAGGCAGTATGGAAAAATGACTAAAGTCCATTTTTTCCAGAAACGCATATAATGGTTCCATGGCATACTTAATACAATTATGTAACTATTACGACATACTTTGCATAGAAAAATTGCCTTCATCTTATGTTATTTTGCTCTGAAGTTTTCAGGAGCGAGTTTTATCGATCGCCAAGGAGGGGGCTAAAAAGGTTTTAAAAAAAAAAAAAACAGCAGCATATTTTCATTTATAAGTAACTTTCTTTTTTAATTTTTTGTACTTTTGTGTAATAATTAAGTACATATACGTAAATTCACGTATTTCTTTCGTCAGTATAATAGTCAAATTCTGTATAATAGTCATTTTACAAAAAAATATTTCTGAAAAAAAAGTCCCATGGGGAGGGCTACTACCCCCATGGCCTCCTCCCACCCCAACCCATCCAAATAAAACCCGCCACTGGAAGTTTTAAAGACTTTAAAGTTTTCTTAGTTCTCTTAGACTTGCAAAGGTTGTTTTTTGAATAACAAAAAAAAATGACTTTGTGACTTTTGTAAAAAAAAAATGACTTTGTGACTTTGTGTCGTTTTTCCAAACTGTCTTTCATAGTACATAGTAAGAAACAACAAAATAATTTAACAATATAGAGTAAAACTGATGCAAACAGTTCACATGAATTTTCTGTCAATGGTCATAATATCGCGACGTTAGAATTATCTTGTTCCATCTCCACATTTTTTAGTTTTGAGATAAATCGATTTAAAAAACAAAAACTTTAGGAGACGGCGTAAAAAATTTTTTTATAACTTATGTTTTTTCCGCAACTTTTTTACTTATAACTTAGGTTTCAATTCAGTAGAAAGACATTATTTTGAGGAACACAACACTATCATTAACTCAATTTTTTCAGAAAGTGGAGATAGAACAAGATAATTCTAACGTCGCGGTATGTCAAATAAATATTTTTAGGAACTTTCTTTCAAAAAATTAAAATAAAATAAAAATGTTCCTGAATCAATGAGACTCGAATTAGGTATTGTGAATGAGTTGTTGATTTTTCTCACACTTTTTGGTACAATAGCAAGCCAAACAAAAAATTACGGCTTTTTATTTGCTTTGTTTTAATTATTAACATTATTAGGTTTCCAAGTCCCATCATTTAAATAATAGGAGTTATTACCAGTTAGGAGCACGGTACCTAAAAAAGACGTCTTTTGAACATTTTGGACGTTCAAAAGACGTCTTTTTTAGGTACCGTGCCCACTGGGTAGATATTTTCATATGACCCTCAATACTACATAAAAAGTTTTGTAGGTACAATTAAAGTTTTTCACGGCTTTTCTAAGCGAATTCATCATGAATTCAAGCTATGTTAATTAAAAATACTTACTCGCTTCTTTTTTGTATTTTAAATGGTTTTTTCTGAAACTAATTTCATATCTGAAGTACCCTTAATTCCAGATATATTGGCTTTTAATAGACTTTCTTCCAACAGTTTTACTTTTTCGGGGTATGTGAGGGATGGGTATGGACAGGGGGTTAAAGGAAGTATATTTTCAAATGATTTTTTTTTTAAATATTATTTTAAATATAAACTTATACTTAGTATTAAAAAAAATAAAAAAATTTTAATTTAAAAGTTTTTTGTTGTTAAATTTTAGTCTTCTTTTAATTTATTATCCATAAATATAAATTTAATTAAATATATAATTTTTTGTTAACAAATATTTTTTTTATCATATTCAACTCAAGTTAACACGTTACAAATCAGAAAAACAACTTATTCATGCTCGTTGTCAAGGCGATTTACAAATTATTTGAATTCTTTTATTTGGAATTAGCATGGTTTTATCAGCGTATTATGTCCAAACAAGAGCTTTAAATGATATAATTCTTTCTGCTACAGGTTTTTTTAATATATAAAGAAACTTTTCATTTTTATATATATAATTTTCAAACCTCTTTACTACCCGTAATAGTGAATCTAAAGAACACCATTTTGGAATCTTTAGGTCAATTCCGCTCATCGGTGTTAACATGAATTTAGTTAAAATCTTTTGAAAAAGTTCCTTAGTTTACTATTGATTCTAGTTCTAACCTGTTTTGAAGTATATTAACTATATATAGTTGTCAAAACACAATACTTCTCTCAACTTTCACAAAAACTATTAGAATAAATTGCCTTAACTACACCGAGTGTCAAAAAATAATGCTTCTAAAAAATAATCATTGTTTAGAAAAATGAGTTTAACTTCAAAAAAACTTTACCCATAAAAATGTTACAAGAAAAAATAGAGAATAGAAAGAAAGATAGATAGATAGAGAAAAGAATAACAGAGCTAACGTTAGGGTTATTTGTATTTTATCAATTTATTTATCAATTTATTAAAATTTTACCAATTTATTAAAATTGCCCTTCCCACTTAAAAAGATATCTATTTGAACAAACGCTGTACAATATAAGGGAATTATTAAAAATGCTGTCAATAAAGCCATTCTTGCTAAAGTACCATTTTAATATAAAAATTAAAGACAATATATTAGATAGTAAAATCAAAAAGACTCCATTAGTAAATATTATTTGAAAAATTAAACTAGTCCGAGTTCTTCTTATTGATTGTAGTACTAGGCAAACTCAGTATACTGTTTTATATCAATTACTGAAAAACTTTGAAATATGTGCTAATGTAAGAGGTTTGTGTTTTGGAACAACTGGTACTTAATACAGAAAGAGGTATTATTGCAAGGTTTAGTCAAACGCAAAAATTAATTTTACTAGAGCAAGCTGACTAGAGGTATATTTATGAACTACATTTCAAACACCTTGTTAGAAAACCTTTGTGAAAAAATTAAACCCATAGAAAACATTTTCTTAGAAATCTAGTTTCAGTAGAAACTGTAGTTTACACAATATGACACATGACCTAAACATTTTCGCAAAAGATCACTAAGAAATATTGAAACTGTTTTTTGAACTCAAGCTCTAAGAATTCAACTCTATTGAGTTACAGAATGTAAGTCTATTTATTATTCTTTCCAGTTTTTAAAACATTTTTACCTTGAACTTTGTCATTCCAAGATTTAAAATTCTTTTGGCAAATATTTAAAAACAGCAAATACGTAAAACAATATGTTCTGCGCTCAGAACTAAAATTTCCAATTTTAGTTACCGGTGATATAATGCTGGTTTCAATGAAATTACACGCATAGAACCTGAAAATGTTTTCACAAGATTTCTTTTACCAAGATCTTTCTGTTGCAGAGGGAGAAAATGTTGGCAGGAGTGGCGCCAGTATTTTTTGGTCTGTGAGATATCTAACTTCCAGACATGGAGCAAGCTCCAAACATTTATATGTTTATACTTATGTCCAACAAGGATGCTTTGAAAAAAATTGCAATGATTGGAGCCTGGGAACAAAAAAGCCCAATAACTTTAACCCCCTCCCCCTGTCAAATTAATAAGGAGAGAAAACCTTAAGGAAAATTTACGATACCCAAATGAACTTATAACAAAGTAACAAGTTTAATATATAATTGATATTGTTTCTCTTTCTGATGGTGAAATATTGATTTACAAGTCTGATACTTTATAATTAAATTACAATGTTACTTAAATATTTAAGGCATTTTGTTTTTTTGACTTAACAATTTTGTTTATATATTTTTTTGTGGCTTAAGGATGCTTTAAGAAATTCTTACCGTCTTATCACAAAGCACCGCAAAAAAGGTGCTTTGTGATAAGACGGTAAGAATTTCTTAAAGCTATATGTAATATTGGTATGGAATAAGGTGTGAACTTCCTAGTTAAAATTTCTTCCTTTTTAACTAGGAAGTTTACACCTTATTCCATACCAATATTTCATATATGGGTATATTTCATATATGGGTATATTTCATATATGGGTATATTTCATATATGGGTATATTTCATATATGGGTATATTTCATATATGGGTATATTTTCATATATGGATATATTTGGCATCGAACCTTGGATCTCTAGAATTTTAAGAAAGACTTTTCAAAATTGTTTTTGGTTAATTTTAATAGAAAACAAAAAGTAATACAAATTTATTTAAAAAGTCTTGTCTTGTTTATAGTAATGGCTATATAAAGTTATTCCTCTAAAAGCTAAAACGGTTAATCTAAAAATAATATAAAACTTAACATAACTTATAAACAACAATAAAATTTTTGATGGAATTTAAAAAATGCGCAAAAAAATTATTCTTCTGATTTTTTTAATATTTTTATTGTAACAGAGCTTTTTAAGAATAGTTAGGTTTTTGGGGTAACTTTTGGGGCAGATTAGCTTCAAGGACCAAATAACTTTTTTCAAGACCTAATTTGACACTTTTTAAAAGAATTGAAGGTTTAAGTTTGTTCATATAAGAAAGATATAAGAGAATTCAAAAAATGTTTTAAAGTGCCACCAAGAAATTATATATCTTTTTATGAGAAATAAGCATAATTTTCACGAATTTGTTTCTTAACTTTAAGAAAACTTAAAATTTACAGAATAGGTTTGAGTGCCCATGCCAAGAGTTTTGAAACACCCTATATTTTTGACCCAAAATTGGGACGGTGAGAAATCTGGAATTGTCAAAAAGAATGTTTTTATGGCGAAAACTTATTTTAAATTAAATAGTTAATTTTTATTTGAGATGGAATTTAATTTCAATGATTTATATAACGATTTACCCTACTAATTAGAAAAAATCTAGAAATAGGCCCATAGGAATAATTTGCTTTGCTATGACGTATTTTTCATATTTCTATTATCTTGTTTTAATATAGAATTTACAAGTTTTAATTGCAAATAAAATTGTAAACAATCTATTAAAACAAAAAATTGGTTTCAAAGTTATTTTTTTTTACTATGATATGGAATAACTATTTTATTATTGTTACTAATATGTATACGAATCTAATAGTAGATATTCAAAATAATATAATGAAATAATAATCGTCGATTATTATTTTATTGATAATTGGCTAATGATCCTATTGTTTTTATCGATTCCAACGTTGTAATTAAATTTGTATTATTCTTTTTAAACGAAATGCGATTAAAATTATACCTTGGTTCCAATTTGATTACCACATTGTCCATATTGTAGCGACACAATCTCTTGCATTACAAAAAGTTAATATTCATCGCCTTAAAGTTTTAACCTCGATTGCCTCCACTAAGCATTTTTTTTTGGCAGTTGCAAATTGTATTTGAAAAGTAATTAAAATCTTCAGTTTTTTAATTATTTTTTAAAAATCTCTTTAAATGCTTAAGGTGAGTTGATCGAAACCGGGTGATCGTAAAATCACGGTTCAAAAACTTTTATGCTAAGTTAATTATTATTTGTTTAAAAGCCGCACAAGTTTATTTGGAGATTTTTTTCTTTTAAAAAAGCTAAGTGTTTAACAAAATTTACAAATGAAACATAGACTTTCAGAAATGGGTGAATATATTTAAAAAAAAAAATAGAAATACGAGAAAAAGAAATAATTTTAATATACTCTACTTACTGTTTGGATTGAAAAAATTTATGGAAATTTTGTTGCTGGAGTATTTTTAAAACTTTAACGTTAAGTAGTTTTCTTGATTTAATCGATTGGTTGGATTTTTTTGCTGGAATGGTTTAAAAAATTATTTTGGTCAAATAAAAAATATTGATATTGGTTACTAACGTAAAAAAGACGTCTTACTAAAACGCTAAATATTCTTAAGAACATATATTCTTTTTAAAGACGCCTGTAAAACGTGTATAAGAGAGCTTAAACAAGATTAAAAACAAACCATTTTAAGAAACGTTTATTAAACGTCTTAAAGACGTTATTTGAAGACAAGGCCATTAAAAGACCTTAAAAGGGCGGTCTCTAAGACTTCTTGTGTTTTCTGGAAAGATTCTTTTTGATTTTGTTCTGACCTTTAAAGTTAACTTTGACACAAAATTCTAGAATTGCTAAAAGTATAGAAATCAAAGCAAAAGCTAAGAAATGAATCAATCAAAAGTCAGACTTAATTTGATTTAAAATAGATATGAAATCTGGAAAAAAAATCTTTATTAATGCAAGGAATGATAGGACTTCCATTTAATAAAATTTACGACTGAGCCAAGAAAATTAGCTATTCGTTACAGCTTGGTAGACCTATGCGCATTAACGAAGCTGCCGAATCATTGTTAGTTGAAGCAATTAAAACCTTATTGGGCTTCGGCATAAATTATACTCAGCTGCTCTTAATTATTAGATCAAAACAAAACCAAAAATATTTAATTGTAAATCAATAAAAAAACATAGTTTAAAACAAAGTTTTAAAACCCTTTCGCATAAAACTTAATTTGTCTGCACCAATTAAATCTTTTTTCTAAAGAGAACTTACCTAACCTTGACTGAAATTATTGTTATTCTTAAGGTGGTAGACCACCATTAAAAATCAAAAAAATCATTTTTTCAATTATAATATTTTTAAATAATATAGCTACCGTAAATTACGAATTTCAAGTTAGTTTAATGAAAAAAAATAGCTAACACCATGAAAAACTATTTTTTAATAAAGCGGTATAAGTGAATTTTTTTATTTGTCCATAGCAACGCCCTGTTTATTCTGTTGCTATTCAACTAAAAAGGAAATTGTATCATAATTATAGTATAAATTTTTAATATAAAATACCAGATGTGGTGATTGCAACTCTAAAACTACTTTTTGTTTATTGATTAATACCTTTGGTGCATTTGGCTACATGAGTTTTATTGAAATTTCCAACTATAGTTGTTGTTTTCCGTATCACTCTATCACTTCGATTAAATAATATTAGTAATGGAAAGTAATAGAAAAAAAAAATAAAAAAATAAAACAAGGCATAGTAAAATACTTATTTAAACTTTTTAAAGAAAACCAAAATCAATCAACAAACAATGTAGCTGAGGAATTGTATCTAATTTGCATGAACTAAAACTTGAATGTAGCAAAGCAAAAAAAAATTTAAATGGACATGTGTACATCCAGATCCAGTAGTAAATAATCTGTAAAACTTTTAAATAATAGTTTTGTAAATAAAAATAATAGTTCTGCTAATTATGATCAGTTCAATGTTACAAATGACTGCTACATGTTAATGAACATCAACATATGAGATGGAATAATGGCTGCCATTGTTTGCTATCAAAAACTTCCTGAAATGTAACTTTTAAATTATAAATTGGCGCTAATTTACATCTCTACCCCCCAATTTTTATTTTTGATTATGATAGAGTATTTTATCCTGATTATGAATTGTATAAAGGCATAAGTCTGAAAATCAACAATTAGTGTTCTATAAAAAATTACACTAAAAAACGCTAATATTCGCCATTTTTTAAAAACGTTTTATATCAAAGTTTACATTTAGAAATCCATCATTTAGAAAATCTTTTTTTAATTATGCAACCCGGTTTTTATTGATGCCAAAATTAAATTATATTTAAATTAAAATAAATTTTTTATGAATATGTTTTTTATTAAATTTTCAAAAATTAATTTAAGATTTGCTTTTTAAATGTGCATAAATCGACTGACAAATGGATTGGCGCAATTAAATGTACATGTATCAACTGAAAAATAGGGATTGGCGTAATTGAATGTACATACATCGACTGACAAATAGGGATTGGTGCAATTAATGGTACATGATTTGGGATAGGGTTAGGGTTTGGGCCAGAAATCAATAAGAAAATGATAACGTACGCATTTTTTAACAGATTTGCTTTAAATTGTTGATAGAAACCAGGCTTTTTATAGTCATCTTATGAAAGGATTTTAATTATAAAAATATATATCGAGTAAAAAAAATGGCAAATATTGGCGTTTTTTAGTGTAATTTTTTTAACTTCAAAATCAAATTAGAGCACTTTCTATTAATTTTCTGATCTATGTTTTTAAACGATTCTTAATCAGGATGAAATTCTCTATCATAATCAAAAATAAAAATAGGGGGGTAGAGATGTAAGTTAGCGCCTTATAAATTTTTAAAGTGCTCAAAACAATATGGCTTTTAAAACTGTTTCCTAATTTTATTCAGAAGTTTCATTCTATCAAAATTATAAACAAACCAGCAGCAATGAATTTTTAATGTTTACTTATGTACAATATTAGTTTTTTGTGAAATGGGTAAAGAATGCTGTAGTATTGAAAAGTTTTGTTGTTTTATGAACATGTTTGATCCCATAAAGAAATTTTTTAACTAGTTAAACAAAGAAATTATAACAGTTACATAGCTTAAGCTAGCATGAATGCCGCAGCGTAGAGGCTCTGAAAATAAGTTTGTATTCTAAAAATAAAACTATAATACGAACACATTAGTTAATGAGGATATCTCTTATGGTGCATAATAATTTTACTTTATATTTATATATTTTTATATATTTAGTTTATACTTGATATTTATTTACTATAATAACTATAATTACTATAATTATATCTAATTACTATAACTATAACAATAACTATAATTACTATAATTTATTTACTATAATAACTATTGGCATAAAACTGATAGGAGTTTTTATTTGAAACTAAATTACAAATCAAAAGTGAGACTTTTTTTTAATGAAATCTAACTTTGAAAATGTCTTTTATAACAATTTTTTTATAATTTTCTCTATTTTTACTCCACAACACTTTTAATATAAGATGATAATTGTCAATAGGCTTTTTACGTGGCTTTTTAATATTTGTTTGAAAAATTTTATGCTTTTTTTTGTTTAAATTTGTTTTTCTCAGATCTCTAAAACTCACGACTTTGCGTGAATATCTCAAAAATTTTTTAATCAATTTCCATGAAATTTTCAGAAGTTGTTCCTTTTGTTGTTATAGATGTCCCTTACCACATTCATGACAATGCGATAATCCAATTCAAAGATACTAAAGCCCAAATATGGTCAAAAATGTATTTTTTTGATCGTCAAGTGTTTTTATTATAAAAAAAAATCTGTTCAGTAAGTTTTCTTGATTTTGGTACAGGATCTTTTTTATTGTATTAAAAGTAAATTTAGAAAATTTCAAGTCATTATAGCTTCAATAGTTGTTGAGATAATCACCGCAACGAAATTATGATATTTTGGGGTTTCTGGAACCAAATTTCTGAAATCAAAAAAAATTTTGCTATTTTTTTAATAATTTTGTCATTTAAGAGTAAATTTTAGTAAATTTAGATGTAAATAATATCTAAAATGTAATTTTTGAAGGATTTGATTTAATTAGTGGTCTACCACCTTAATCCACCATCATAATAGAGTTTTCTTTAAAAAATCTCAAACAGCGCCTAACCAACACGTTTGAGAAGAGCCATGGCTAGGCTATTTCACACACCTTCATTGGTTGGGGGAACCAGAAAATTTAGGGGGTTTATTTGCAAATTTAGGGGCCCTTTTGCAAATGTAAGGAGGGTTTTTTTTTTTTTGAGTATTACCAACGGGAAAAAAATTTAGGATTTTGGGGTTAGTACCGTGGCTACTAGGTACGAGACTCTTTCCCCCCCCCCCCCCCAAAAAAAAAAAAAAAAAAACTTAAAAAATAAAAGTTTTTTTTTTTGGGGGGGGGAAGAGTCTCGTACCTAGTAGCCACGGTACTATGATCGAATATAGTTACTGAAACAAAGAACTATCGGAAAGTTTTTTAAAGTGCCCAAGAACGATTATATGCATTTGAAGTCACATAGCTTATGAAACGTTAACAGTACTGGTTTTCAATGGGATCCGGATTTTTGATTCCATTCCGCAAAAATGTGCGGAAATGGAATCAAAAATCCGAACAACTGCAAGGTTTTGTTTAATATTATTTAAATATTTACAATTTAGAAGCATATTAATAAAAACAGTATACGTGGGCAAGAATTATTTATTATTTTGCCTTATCACCGAGCCCAATTCATACATATTTACAAAACCTTATTATATAAATTTTTATGCTTTATTAAGTTTTTATTTAAAAAAATAATTAAACAATAATTCGTTGTCATTTAAAGAAAAATTAAAAAAAAAACATCTAAGTAAAGAAAAAATTAAAAGAGTCATTTTTGATCGAAAATTGAAAAAAATGAAAACTAAATACTAAAAAAAAAATAAAAATAGGCAACACCTATAATCTATAACTTTTATGATTAATTTTGATTTTTTGACAATTTTTTGCTTGGCTATTTTAATACCATATAATAAAAAATGTCAGAAAAAAGTCATGTTCCAAAATTGGAGGGAACTTAATTTAACCATAATTTTACCTCTTTTTAACCTGCGTTA